GCCCAAGAGACAGACAGGGCCACATAAACCAGAGACTCCATCAGCCTGAGACCAGAAGAACTAGATGGTGCCCAGCTACCACCAATGACAGCCCTGACAGGGAACACAACACAGAGTCCCTGACGAAGCAGGAGAAAAGTGGGGTGCAGAACTCAAATTCTAGTAAAAAAACCAGACTTAATGGTCTGACTGAGACTGGAGGGACCCCAGAAGACATGGCCCCCAGACTCTCTGTTAGCCAGAAACTAAAACCGTTCCTGAAGCCAACGCTTCAGACAAAGATTAGACTGGACTATAAGACATAAAATAATACTTGTGAAGGGTGCGCTTCTTAGCTCAAGTAGATACATGAGACTAAATGTGCAGTTCCTGTCCAGAGGTGAGATGAGAAGGCAGAAGGGGACAGGAGCTGGTTGAATGGACACAGGAAATCGGGTGGAAAGGAGGAGTGTGCTGTCACAGTATAGGGAGAGAAACTAGGGTCACATAACAATGTATATATAAATTTTTGTATGGGAGACTAACTTCAACTATAAACTTTCACTTAAAGCACAATTTAAAAAAAAATGCTTCTCTCAACCCTGTAATACCTCAGTAATAACCCCTTATCTCTTCTCTTTAGTCAGCCTCCTCAGAAAAGAAGAAAAAAGAAAAGAAAATGAGTTATATAGCTTATTTTACTAGTTCACCTTTGAAAGCACCGCTGTCAAAAATTACCAATAGTCGATTTGCCTCCTTATTGCCAAAACGATAAATTATTTTTAGCCTTCCTTTACTGGAACTTATTTATTATGTTTTTTTTTTTTTTTTAATTCACTGACCATTTTATTATCGTTGACCTTTCCATTACTCTTGAAGTTACTGCCTCCTGGCTTCCTGGATGTCTTTCTCTCCTTGTCCTCGTCTTGTGCAACTCTTCTTAGTAGCTTTTATTGGACTCGGTTGCTCTTCCTGCCTCTCAGTTGTTGATGTTCCTTAAGAGTCTCTTTTGGCACTTTTGTTCTTTGTCTCTTCATTTTACATAGTCACCTCAGGGATCTCACTCACTCCTATACATTTTAATTACTACCTAAATGCCTTTAATTCCCACATATGTATGTAGCTCAGAATTCTGCATGTCCCTCCACCGACAGACCCCTCAAACTAAAGCTCCATTTATGATCTTTTCTATTTCTCCCATAGTTCCTACCTCAGTTAATGGCAGCTTCATCTACATAATATCAGGCAGAACCTAGTCAACCTAAGGTCTCCTTTTCCTTGTCTTCCCACATGTAACCAATCACTCATATTTTAAACTCTATCTCCTCAACATTTTTCATATCTGATTCTGTTCCTTATTCCCACCATATTACCTCAGTTCAGAATCTTCTAGTCTCATGTCTGGCCTAGTGCAAAAACCAGTTATCAGCTCATCCAGGTTCATGCTCCATCAATCCATCCTCCTCATTGCAGCCAAGATGGTCTTCCAAAAACACAAAATTGATTATGTCACTCTCGGTTTAAAAACCCTCGGTGACCTTATTTTACCTACTGAGTAGACTTACAATACCTCAGTATGACACAAAATGCCCTCCTTAACTTTCCAGATGCATAGAAGGCCCTTCCTAACTTTCAACCTTTTGCCAAGCTTTCCCCTAAACTCTACACTCAGGCAAAACAGGTTGCTTACAGTTTTCTGAAAACCCAAAGTTACTTAAAACTTCCCTGGTTTGCCTCTCACGTCTCTCTCTGCCTGTAGTATACCACAGCTCCCTCAACATCCCCCCACCCAACTTCTGCCCCCATATCTTGTAGAACATCTTAAAACCAACCTCATCTCAATGGTCTCTCCCTCTATGAAACCTTTCCTGACCTCCTCTACCCCTCTATCCTTACCAGAGAGAAGTGAGCAAACGGTTCTTTGTACCATGCACGTTTCCGTCATAGCGCCTTATTCTACTTTGTTTCTTAGTTGAGAATTGCGTTAGACTATAAGCTTCCTCATAAATAGGTATCATATCATATTTGGCATTATAGTCTTGGTACTTTGAATGTGCCTGGCATAACATGACTCCAAACATAAGTTTTTAGAGAGTTGGTAGGAGGGTATTGCCTTTCATTTTCGCTTGCTTTCTACTGAATTGTTTGACATCTTTTAACACAAACATATTTACTATATTGGAAATTTTTAAATATTGAAAAGTAAAGGTAAAGTGATTCATTTTTATTAATTCCAGAGAAAAAAATTTAAATTGTCTGGTCATAATTGTGCCACATTATTCTGAATCTGAATCATGGCCAAAAAATTCCTAGAGTGATCCCTATGTCTGTTATTTTAACAGCAAAGTTATCTTGGATATATTTACCTAAGAAATAAATAGTTTGCTATCATGACATTCCTGTAAATATCTGAATTACCACAAGAAGATGAAAAAAAGATATCATACATGTAGGGTAAGATAAATATTTCCAGATGTTTGCCCCAAGACACCTTCTTGCAAACTTCACTCCTACTCTTTCAATTTCCATTCCTGACAAAGAAACTGCGAGATGGTGCCGTTAGTGTTCTATCGTGGTCCACCTCCTTCTCTGCCCTCTGCCCTTAGCAGAACTTGTTTGTACACCCTGTTCCCTGATTATGCTGATCGCTAAACCTTGTGAGAGTTCCTGCCTCCAGTCAGAGATGAAAAATGAAGTTATACACAGGCCATGCAAAACCACACCCTTAGGAGCTGAGTCTGTGCAAGATTTGTTGGAGGAAATCATATCTCATCCTGTTACACATATCCTGTGGCTACAGAAACTAGCGTCCCTGCTTTTGTCACTCAGCTTCACGTGAAGGAGGCTGGAAATCCCCAATGACCTCCAACCCCTTAGTGGGAATTTAGAAACAAAAAGTCATATCAGTGGGTCTCAGGTGAAGGCTCATACAATAAACAGAAAGTGAACGGAAAGGTTTATTAGGGGAAATGGAGGGAAGTGAAAAGTTATTTGATAAAGGAGGAAGACAGTAAAAAAAACTAAAGAAAATCTGGATATGGTCAAAAGGGAAAAGCATATAAGATACAAACACTGAATGAATATCTCTGTGATGTTGACGCACAAAACTGTAAACGGAACACTTTAGGAATTTTCAAGGAATGGAATATAACAACAACAGAAAACAAATAAAAAAACTATTGCCGTCGAGTTGATTGTGACTTAGTGAACCTATAGGACAGAGTAGAACAGCCCCATACAGCTTCCAAGGCTGTAAATCTTGAAGAGAGCAGACAGCCACATCTTTCTCCGTGGAGCAGCTGTTGGGTTCGATCCACTGACCTTTTGGATAGCAGTCGAGTGCTTAACCACAGTACGACCAGGGCTCCTTGGAATGGAAACTCCTATTTTTGAAGAGTCCATGATGTACCAAATACTTTCCACAGCTTATCAACTTAAGTACTCGTTGTCGTTCGGTGTCACTGAGCAGGCCCTGACTCACATGGACGCCGTACACAGAGAATGTAATGCTGCTCGCTCCTGGGCCATTCCCATGATCAGTTAGGGATCAGAGGTTCTGATCCATAGGGTTTTCATTGGCTGATTTTCAGAAGTAGATCACCAGGTCTTTCTTCCTAGTCTGTCTTAGTCTGGAAGCTCCTCTAAAACCCATCCAGTACCATAGCAACATGCAAGCCTCCACCACTGACCGACAGGTGGCAGCTGCACATGACGTGCATTGGCTGGGAATCGAACCCTGGTCTCCCGCATGGAAGGTGAGAGTTCAGCCACTGAACCATCATAGCCCTCCTAGCCACCTCACGACCAAAGCGATCAGGCTGAGGGCGAGTAGCACGTGTTTTCTGTCGGGGGTCTCTGCCTGAACAATCATTGAAGCAATTTGTTACCTCTATTTTATATTAGTTCAAGTTAATGTGAATAAAACAAGGTCAGGCACATAAGAAACACTGTATATATTTTTACATCATTGATAATTTATAAATAAAGAAACTAAGTCCAAGAACACGTAAGTAACTTGTCCAAGATCACACAGTTAGTATACTTGGTATTAGAAACTAGTCCTGTCTATATGACAGTGTGAGGTCCCTTCACCATAGTTCAAGTCAGATTTCCACCTTCGATTGGCTGAGTTACCCAGCAAATAAGACCCTTCACTAGATGTGCCAATTTTCTCTTCTATGAAACTCAAAGAAAAAAAAAACTTTCACTGCTATGTCATAGGATGAATAGTTGGTAGTTGGAAATAAGATTATACAAATGGAGACTAAATGTCACTCACTCCAGTGAAATATTTTCATAATTTGACTCCATCATCTTGATAATATTCTGGGGGTCAGTAGAGCAAAAAGGTATGGAGATTGGACGTAATTTCTTCTGAGAGCACTATTTCCATTATTATCAAAGCACAGAACTTCAGAGCTGAGGAGGCGTTAGAAAGCGTTTGTTTCAATACCAGCTCGTTTCACAGATGACAAAACTGAACTCCTGAGGTTGACCGGAATCTCCCAAGGACTTGCAACTTCAGGATGTAGAACTATTTTAATAAAGAACCAGGTTTAATGGGTCTGCTGGGATATCTCCCTCGAAAGCCATCATTTCAAAACTAGCAAGAAGGTAGCTTTTCTGAATCTAAATTTCCTAATCAGACACCAGATGGTAAATAAAAACAGCGTAGGATTTGGTCTTCTTTGGAAGGTGGGAAAGGGAAGACTTTGCTTGAATTTTACATACAATCTCATCTACATGATGGAAAAGGCACCAGATCTCAACTGTAAACCGCTATGCCAGCAATGGAATCTCAGAAGAAGGAACATCTATGCATGTACTGGGTTTACATTTTCAGATGTACATATATGTGGCGCACAAATTGGGGAGAAAGCCCAGCTACACGATTTCTATCAATCATAGAAACAATTCCTTTCTTCCTCTCGTTTGTTAATAATTTTCAGAGAGGCATCTCGTCTCATGCATTTCTCAAGGGCTCTGGTCTATTTGGACTCAGCGGGGCAGAGTACCTGTGTGCTCGGACCCTGGTCTCCGGGTCGTAGTAGAGGCTAGAGAATGCAGGCTCAGGGCGGCGTCCCCATCATCACCTAGCATGTCCCTGGTGCTGCTGTACTTGGCGTGCATCTGGCTTCCTGCAGGGGTGAGGCAGAGACGTGGTCGGATGGCTCCACGCTGCCGGGCTAGTGTCAGAGAGTCCAGGAACCCAGGCACTGAGAGACATTCCCGATGCTTGTCTCTCCTGCAAATAGCAGGGGAGGCCTCTGGCTCCAGGCTCTGCCTGCTGAGGCCCAGCCCCTTTCCAGTCAGCTGGCCAGGCTGAGGGGAAGTAGCCCGTGTTTTCTGGTTGGGCAGCCTCTGCCTGAACAATTTATTGAGGGAATTGCTCTTCTGGGATCTCTTCTGTTCATTGGTTGGTACTTCCTGTGTAACTACAGTGTAAAGAAAACAAGTTCTTACAAGAGAGTGGTGGTTCATTTTGAATCTGCAGAGTGATAACCAGGAGGGAAACACATCGTCCAGGTTCTTAGCTGTCATGGAGTTACTGAGTGAGTCACTCGCGTCAAGTTTATTAACTTCTTTTGGTGCCTGTCTTAGCTAGGATTGTCTAGAGAAACAGAACCAGTAAGCTATACGGAGAGAGATCAAACCCCAAACCAAACCCATTCCCGTCGAGTGGATTCTGACTCACGGCGACCCTGTAGGACAGAGTAGAACTGCCCCATAGGGTTTCCAAGATTGCAATCTTTATGGAAGCAGACTACCAGATCCTTTTCCTCCAGAGAAGCCGGTGGGTTCGAACCGCTGACTTTCGGTTCGCAGCCGAGTGCTTTAACTGCTGCACCACCAGAGGACTTTATTTTGAGGAACTGAGGACGGGCAAGTCTGATTTGTAGGTCCGGCAAAAACCAAACCAAGCCCGTTGCCGTTGGTTTGATACCTGCTCAGACGACCTCCTGTGTTTCAGAGCAGAACTGCGCCTTGTAGGGTTTTCAGTGACTGTGGTCTTTCAGAACAGATCACCACGCCTTTCTTCCAAGGTGCCTCTGGATGGATTCAAACCACCAACCATTAAGTTAGTGCCACCCAGGGACTGTACGTAGGCAACAGACTGGAAATTCCCCCGGTGGTCTTGTGTCCCAAGCCAGCAGGTCAGGCAGTGGGGAAGAGAGGAATTCTGGCAGGATGCTATTCATGGTCTGGAGGCAGAATCCTCTATTGAGAAAACTCTAGTTTTGTTCTTAAGGCCTTCAACTGATTGGACGAAGTCCTCTCGCAATAGGGAGGATAATCTGCTTTACTTAAGGCCAATGGATTTAAATGCTAATCTCATGTAAATACTTCATACAGCATCTAGACTAGTGCTTGACCGAACAACTCGGCGCCACAGCCTAGCCAAGTTGACACATAAAATTAACCATTACAGTGCCCTTTTAACTTTTACAATGAAAAGTGAAGAGACTATAGGGCCTAACCCCTTCCTTTCTTTCTCCAATGGTATAGAGTAAAACATCATACGCATGGAACGTGAGCACAAAAGAGTCCTTTTGAGGGTGTCTAATTGATTCCGCTCTTCCATCGTAGAAAAAGGGAAATTGACACCCAGAGAGATGAAGTGATTGGACCAAGTCCCATCTTGTTAGTGAGAGAATTGGCTTTAAAAGTACTCTCCTGTTGGCCATTCAATTCTTTTCTCTTATACTATCTGCACTAAATCTAACACTTTATAACACATTTGATGCATCATAATCATGTGGAATCACACATTTTACTAGGAGTCAGATATTTTGGAGCTATTACTAATTGCCTTGTGACATCGGGAAGTCAGTTAACTATTTGTGCCTATATTTCCTAAGCTGAAGAGGAAATGAGAAGATTCTTTTAGATAAATGTCTAAAATCCTTGATGAATTGGTACAATACAATTATATTCCTCTATCAACACATTTCCAGATGTGTGGAGACAGCTGGGCTAAATCAAGCATGTTAAATGTTAAGGCATGTGGAAGATGCTTTGGTTGGGCAACCAGCCCCTCTAAGAGATCTGTCAGGAAGTATATATGGTCAGTTCATGATGTGTTTCAACCTGTGTGTTGCTCATCAGATTATTCTAAATAAAACAAACTGAAAAAGAACCTCCTCTTGCACAAACCCTTAAAAACCCATCACCATCGAGCCGATTCCAACTCATAGCAACCCTATAGGACAGAGTAGAACTGCCCTATAAGGTTTCCTAGGCTGTAATCTTTACAGAAGCAGACTGGAACATCTTTCTCCCAATGAGCAGCTGGTGAGTTTAAACCACTGACCTTTTGGTTGGCAGCTGAGTGCTTAATCACTGCGCCACCGGGACTCTTTTCTCCTCTTCCATAAAACCCATTGCAGTCAAGTCGATTCCGACTCATAGCGACCCTATAGGACAGAACTGCTCCACAGGGTTTCCAAGCAGCTGGTGGATTCGAACGGCTGAACTTTTGGTTAGTGGTTACGTGCTCAGCTGCTAACCGAAAGGTGGGCAGTTCAAACCCAGCAGCTGCTCCGCAGGAGAAAGCCGTCACAGTCTGCTTCTGCAAAGATTTGCAGCCCCTTGCATAGTCTTCCAAAAAGTAGGAAATCAGAATCACTCGTCTATTTGGTTTGAGTTGAGATATCAGAGAATGTTTTAGGAGATGAGAGAGGTAAAAATTTGAAGAGGGAGGTAAGTGAAGCATGTAGGAGAATGAAGCAGAAAGACAGAATATTAGAAAATAGTAACAGATAGGGCCAGAAAAAAAGGCATTAGGTGGATAACCCGATTGCCGTCGAGTTAATTCCGACTCATAGCTACCCTATAGGACAGAGTGGAACTGCCACAGGGTTTCCAAAGCCGTAATCTTTGTGGAAGCTGCCTGCCACATCTTTGTCCTGCTGAGCAGCTGGTACGTTCAAACTGCTGACTGTTCAGTTAGCAGCCAAGCTTTCCAACCACTGGGCCACCTGGACTCCTTGCATTAGGAGGAGCTGCTAATTATTATTCTAATGGATAGCAATTATAACTATCCCGCAACTTCAGTCATTCATGTAGATAAGTACTTGAAAACTTTTGCAAAAACTACATTAACATGTACATTATTTCTCCTTAAAGACTCACTTTTCAACAACAACAAAAAACATTTCTCAGACACTTGTTCGCTGGCAGGTAGTAGTCTCAGATTCTGGGATACATCAGTGGAAAACAAAACAGTCTGGCCTTTTCGAGCCTACATTCTACGGAGGAAGGTGATAAAATACAAGAAAGATAACAAGTAAGTAACTAATAGATTGGACTGTAATTAGTGCTATGGTAAATATGGAGCCCTGGTGGTGCAGTGGTTAAGCATTCGGCTGCTAACCAAAAGATCAGCAGTTCAAATCCTTCAGCAGCTCCTAGGGAACCCTATGCGGTAATTCTGCTCTGCCCTATAGGGTCGCTATGAGCTGGAATTGATTAGACGGCAATGGTTCTTTTTTTTTTGGTTTTTGTGGCAAATATAGAGCAGAGTAAGACAGATTAAGAATATTGGGAAGAAGGTTTGATAATTTTAAATAGGATAGTCAGACTAGGCCTCAATTAAGAAAGTGATATCTATGCAAATACTTGAAAAAAGGTAAAAGAGTAGGCCCTGCAGCTATCAGAGGTAAGAATCTTCCTGGTGAAGGAAACAAAGCACAAAGGCGCTGAGGCGGGGAAGAATGCCTAGTATGGTTGAGAAACAATAGAGAAACCATTGTGTCCTGAGAGAGTTTTAAATAAAGAACTGACTTGATCTGATTTGAATTTTGACAAAATCACTCCGGTTGCTAGGTTTGAAAATGGACTCTAGAGGTCAAGGGTCAAGTCCAGGAGATTACTTAGAAAATCATTGCAATAACCCAGGCACCTGAAGATGGTGGCCCTTGAATAAATGTTTCCTCAGTCACCACTTATCTTGAATTTACCTGTTACACACAGGCTCAGCTAGCAGCTGTATGCCTCTTCTGTGTCTTGGAAAAATGTAAATGTTTCCTGATTGTTACCATCGCATTTCTGGATAAGCTTCAGTATAAACATGCATGGACAGTTCAGATACAGTACACCTGGAACAACCTAGAGCAATCTTGCTTTACCCCATCATCTTTGGCATACTCGTGCCTTTACCTCTTGCTGCAGTGGGGTGCCCTTGAGTCCATTCTGACTCATACAACCCTATAGGACAGAGGAGAACCGCCCCCTAGGGTTTCCTACGCTGTAATCTTTATGTGAGCAGATCATCTGGTCTTTTCTCTTGCGGAGCAGCTGGTGGGTTCCAACCACCCCCCTTTTGATGAGCAGCCAAACACTTAACCATTGCGCCACCAGGCTTATTATTGCCCAGCGTGCTGTTCTGAAGTCGTACAGCCTTGATATCCAGCATCCACAATTATTTTTCTTGGACTCATCTACCCCATTCTGAGAATCTACAGAACCAAAACCGACATTAAAATACATGGTGTCTCTTCACCTCCACACTTTGTGACATGGTTGACCACTTAAACCACTTACGCGTGTTCTTTCTTCTCCTGGTCGCGATTATCTCTATTCTTTTCACATTTTTTTCAGTAGTCACAACATGTTTGTATAGTAAAAGCAATAGTCAATGTAATAGAATAGTGATACTAATTTCATTCAAAATCTACACATTCTCTTAAATTTTTAAAAATATTTAAGCTCTCAAATTTATTCTTCCACAGAGAACTATCCACACCACGTATCTCCTCGCCATTGCCCAATTCATCGTCACTTTTGAGGAGAGGGCAAATTACGAGAGTGATTATTACACACAGGCACACAATTAGGAGGCCAAAGACTCTTTGATAAGCAACTTTAATGAACTTGACACAATTTCTGTTCATATATTAATCGGCCCGGGAGGGCTGTGAATGCCTCCCAAATAATATGGAAATCCCCACTGGAAATAAAAACAGCACCAATGGGAAAATTAAGAGAGAGAAACAGATACAAATCATACACGGAGGAGCCTAGTGTCTTAGTTATCTAGTGCTGCTATAAAAGAAATACCACAAATGGTGACTTTCAAAACAGAAGTTATTTTCTCACAGTTTAGGAGGTTAGAAGTCCCAACTCAGGATGCTGGCTCTAGGGGAAGATTCGCTCTCTGTTGGCTCTGGAGGAAGATCCTTGTCTCTTTGAGCTTCTGCTCCTGTGCGATCACGTGGCTTGGCATCTGTCTTCCCCTATCTCTGCTTCTTGATTGTCTATTTAATCTCTTCTGTATCTCAAAAGAGATTGACTCAAAACACACCCTCCACTAATCCTGTCTCATTAACATAACAAAGACAACCCACTCCCAAATGGGAATTAGAACCACAGGTAGGAGGTTAGGATTTACAACACAAATTGTTAGGGGACACAGTTCAATCCATAATACCTAGTTACATTTCAGTAACACATTTTTACAGTAATGACTTGGGAATTGGTAAAAACTGAAAAATAGTAATCATAAAAATTAATAAACGAAAGCATGTTTTGGGTTCCAAAATTTTAATATTTCTGGTCAATGGGATTGGTTACTTCTTTATATCCATCACTCGATTTTATTTATTTTTTGATATAATTTAAAAAGGAGACATCTCCTGTAAAAGCGGTAGCCCTACAATTTCACATTATAC